ACTAGTAGGCCGAGTTTCTGTTTGTATCCATTATTGTCGTGAAATATATTATATTTCCCCGCGCTAACAATGGCCGCTCGCGCGAAAAAAAAATTTCTGGCGAAGTCGGATTTGCCGACGCTATCAGCGTGCACTATCGGGATTTTGAGCACGCTTACGTATAATGAATTTGATTGCGCGACTCTGCTAGCTGTGTTCTAAATCAAATTAGTGGCAACCAAATTTGCAGCAAAAGTTTTCAGTCTGGCAATCTGAGTTCAACAGTCCCAAGGCAGAAGAAATACTTCTATTGCATCCTTTTTATGAGTTAAAGACAATTAGAGAGAAAGATGTGCAAAATTAATGTCATGCAAGTTTACAGCTTGACCTCTACACCTTACTATCAGTACGCATATTCTCCATACTGTTCACCATACATTTCTTAAGGTGCTGGCAAGGAGAATTTGTTTAACGATCAAGAGTTTCTGTAGTTTTAGATATTTCCATTATTTTCATGACCTTGAAGTGTGATACAGGGGGCAATGTTGTAAGGGAGAAATAAGAAGCTAGTCTCTGTTAAGGGTTAATGTTTTTCCCTTTTGGCACTAACTGTATGGTTTCAGGTCACTGAGTAACAAGTTTGTAAAAAATTGAACTTGCGAAGTGTATTAATGTTATTGTTTTTTTTTTTTCTTGTTAAGGTCAAGCACTTTGTCCTCAGTGGAAAGCTGTGCCTAGGAATCTTCTCTGCTAGTGCGATACCCAGCGGATCTGAAATCACCATTCCATTTGAGTTTGGGTTTGATGAGTATCATAGTTTGGTAGACTGTGCTTGCGCTCAGGACAGTTGTGCTGCAATGAAATACAACCAGAAGTTGCAAAATCAAAACCACGAGAGTAATACTCAGAAAAGATTCAAGGCACATGATGACGATAGCAACTCGGGGCCACCCCAAAAGATGTCCCCTCTTGGAGCATCTCTTGGTAACAGTCAGAGCTTGCAGGTAAAAAAAAAAAATTGTGATACCCCACACCAACGCAGCAACACGGTTTCTACAGAAGCTTACCCCCTTCATTGCATATTTCAGGGTGACAGTGACTCTGATGCGGAGAACAACCCCGAAAAGCGAGGCAAAAAAAGCAGAGAGGAGAGAAAGTTGGAGGCTTTACTGAGACAGATTGAGAAAATGGAGAAGAAAGAGAAGCGCAAGCAACAAACTCAAAAAGAACACAAGCACGAGCTGATTAGCCCAGTGAGCCAAGATGTGTCGTTGAACAAGCTCAGCAGCAAAAATATAAAAGGAATAAAGCGGGCCTTGAACAGGAAACGAACAGGAAGAAAGCGAGCGAGGCTGTCAAGTTGTTCGTCTGAGCCTTTGTCTCCTGATGACCACAGCAGCACTGCATCTACTCCCACTACACAAGAACTGAGCTCTGTGACGCCATCCACATCGCCCAACAGGAACTTCAGATTCCCAAAGGACATTAAACAGGTAAGAGTTTATTAACCTTTTATGTCCTAAAGTCAGTGTACATATTCTCCACACTGGTTCTTACACATTTCTAAGGTGAGATGAGAAGAATTTGTTTAACAATCTAGAGCTTCTTTAACTGGTGATTATTTCCTTTATTCTCGTGACTTTTATGTTTGATTGGGGGTGATTTTGTGGAAAGTGGATGCTAGTGAAAAAAGTAAAGCTTGAACCTTGATAACATCTACTAGTCCCGGTTGTTCGAAAGGGTAAGTCTGGGTAAATTGCTATCGGATGATGGATCGTGCAGTACAGCTGTACGTTTAGTTGCAACTGGATCCTGCTTTATAACATTCTCCACGGTAGTTTATCCACCTACATCCTTATCCTTTTGTTTACAAAGCAACTGATTTTTTCACTCACTTGCTCATCGCCGCAGCACAACAGTTTCTTGAGAAAGTAAAATTTGATCCATGGCAATCGTTCAAGTACTAATGCAATTCGTCCTTTTTAGTCTTTGGATGAAGAGAAGAAAGACACTCCTATCAAAGATACTTCTGTCTCTGTAAAAACTGAACCAGCAGATATTAGTGAGGCCTCCCTACCTAACTCTCCCATTACGCCTAGAGAAGAAAGTGAAACTAAACCTGTGATTATCAGCACAGCTAGTAGTACAACTGATCGAGATGCAACTGCCACACCTGACAATGGCATTGTAACGACTGAACAAGTTGTACCTTTGGCTGCTGATATACCAGTGTGTACATCAAATACGGCGGACAGTACGCAGCCCGCAAAAGATTTAAGTAATTCACTCGCAGAATGTGTGGTTGAGGTTAACGTGGCTGAGGACAGTGGTAGAAATACCCCTAGTCCATGTCCATCAACTACAGGTAATTTAAATTGATCAACTTTTTCATTTCTTCAGACAAGATCAGTGCATTGCCTTGCTTAACAGACGATGAGAATATAGAAATGAATTATGTAGGTTAGCCTGGAGCGCAGATGTCTTATTAGGGCGAGTTCACGTTACAAAGTGAGAGTGGACGGGGGGAGGGAGGGAACGGGGAAAGGCAAGAACCCACTCCCTCTTCTCTCCTAGGTCTGACCGTCGCTCCCCCGTTCACCCCATTGGTACAAATTTATAATAGACTAACTTGCTCTTTGTAATTGGATCGAAGGATGGCTTTCTTTGGTGGGTAAGTTAGTAAAAAAAGGAAGGAAGGAAATTTAATCTTACGAAAAAGGTGTTTGTTGTTTCAATAACAACTAATCCCTTGGCACAATTGTAGTGGGAAGTGGTACCTTTTGTAGTGTTAAGTGTTTTGCACTCAAGGACTAGGCAAGCAAAGCATGATACGGTTACACACCTGCGCTTTCTAATAACTTATTTTTGCTTTTTGTGTAAACAGGCTCCCCAACTAGTGCGGAGAGTGTAACAAGCAGTTACAGTGGTTCTGCAGCAGAGAGAGTAAGTCCAGGACCTGCCCCTGGGAGTCCTGTGGCCTCTGTCAGATTTGGCCACAGGTCAACAAGAACTAATCCACTGTATGGATCTTTGAAGAAGGTATCTAGACTACACTTGGGTTAAGATTTTTTTCCAGTTCAAACTGTTACTGATCATGGTTGAGTTAAAGAAATCGTGTTGTCAAATACGTAGTAAATAATGAAATCGTGATTACACCGTCGAGAAATCAACTCTGTTAAATAGAAGTATGTTGGCCTTCGAAATATTCATATCTCCATTTCAAGATATTTTTAAAAAACTCCAGTATTTATTAAAATTTTCTACTGATGTTGGTGTAAAGTGGAGACTATATGTGTATCAAGATCTAAATTTTGAAAACCAGTTCATCCTTTAGTTTCCTTCAAATTTCCTGCACTGCAGTGGGTACGTAGGACTTACTCGCAGACTTGACTGGTCAACGATATGTTACGACCTCATGGGTCACCATGTTTTCCTAGGTATGCGGCTCCAATACCAATTTAGACAATTGCCCAGAAGAAGGCGCTATTCCATCGAATTTTTACCAGATTCGAAGATGTTTAGTCGAAAACCAATTTTTTTCCTTAAAGTTTAGTTTGTTTCTTTGTTGTTGTTTAGTTGGTTTGTTTTGTTTTTGTTTAAATGTCAGCCACAAAGGACAGCTCTGCTAACTTTGTTCTGTACTCTCTGCTGCACTTTCAGAGGTGGCTGTTTCAGTACCTGTATGGACAAAACTTAGTCAACGAAAGACCCCCCAATGGATTCAAAGTTAACGTTAGCAGCCCCATGAATATACCTTTGAATGGTAAAACAATTCCATCCTCTTTGAGAAGAAATGGGCTGCCAAAAATTGTAGGTTAGTAGAGATCTTGCGTGGCAGTTCAGTCGCGCAGTGTATGTAACATTTATACTCAACTGCTCTCCCAGGAAAAGTTATTCAAATTACCGCTGTTGGGCAATTTACTGTCCATATGTACTCTTCTAAATTAAGGGGTTGGTTAACATTTTTGTGTAGCTTTTGAAAGCTTCAAGGCTTCCTGTCGTTTTGTAGGCGAGAATCCGTGCGACTTTTATACTTTTTGGACAAACAGTTCGACTCTAATAATTTCTTTATTCAAAGATGTGCCCGCCCCTTTGGCCCAAACTGGCACTTCTTTTTTTATTCATTTTTCCAAATCTCTGGCAACTCTCCTCCGATTCTCATTGGCCGCCCCTAAATATGCCTTATTCAGTAAAGTGGGTGATTGAAGAGGTAAATTGTTGTGCGTGATTATAAAAGCCCATTTAATCCACTTTTCTCTAGATACTTTACCCCTGAAGAAGCGGCATTTGAAAAGATACCAAGAGATGTCGTCCGAACCCGAGCAATCTGCAAATTCAGCGAGAACTTTACCAACTGAGCCAGCGTGTGGCGAGCCTCTTATTGTTTGCTCGCCCACTGCGCTAGAACAGCAAGTGCAGATTGTATTAGCAGATAGTGTGAACGATTTACAACCACACAGAGAAGAGGGTTTAACGGCTACAAATGAACAAACTCAGCTAAGAGATGAATTACTTTTAAAAGTGAACGTTTCAAATGCGTCAAACATTGTGGAGACCACAAATTCGACAGTCATTTCCGAGAACAATGCTCTTACGGCAACAACAGGCGACTCTAGTATCTTGCAGAGAAGACCGAGCGATCCTCGGCTTGTAAATAATTCACCGGTTTCTAGCATAGCTCCTGTCGTTTCACCGGGATATCCTCCGCTTGTGGTGGCCGGCGCTGTTTCGCCCGTGTCTGTCGTGGCAACTATTCCTGGGCAACCTGTGCTGCAGCTTTCACAGGGTAATGATACGTCTGGGACACCAGGAAAGAAAAAGGTAAGTGAAGCTTAACCAACAACCAATCAGAGCGCCTTTTGATTGAGTGACGTCAACCAAAACCAGAGAAATCACAACAGCCAGTCGGACCAAAGGAAGAAATTGCTAGCAGCCAATGATAACTCAAAGGATAGTCTAGTAAATCGGTTAAAGCGCGGGAAAAAGCAAGAGACCAAGTAGCTATTACTTTTAGTTTTCAGTTTGGTTCAGGTTGTTCGAAAAGAAAACAGCGCTCTTGCCTGGATAATTAACTATCTGGTAGACAGTGCCGTTATCTGTTGGACAGCGTTATCTGCCCTTTGAATAACCGGCCCTAATTTGTATTTGTATTTGTATTTAACAATTATTCGCCTCAGGTTCGGTGAATATCGTCGAATAATCCCCGAGACGAAGTCGAGGGGATTATTCGACAATATTTACAGAACCTAAGGCGAATAATTGTTTTAGTATAATTTCAGAGCTGAACAACAGAGAAATTTCTAAATCATAACATTTTAGTAACATTTATTAACATTTTATTTTAACATTTTATTTTAATATTCGTCCTTATCCGAGAAGACTAGAATATCTATCCATTTCTTGATAATATAGAAAGGAAGCAAATTCTCCTCAGTTATTTTAAGACCATGAGTAGTGGTCCGGCCGGGGCTCGAACCCTCGACTTCCCGCACAACACAATCCGGCGCTCTAACCAAATGAGCAAACCGGGGGTCGGATTGTTTGAGAAATTGGGGAGAATTTTCTGGACCAATGACAATGACGAATTGCGCTCCACTCTTAATTGAAAATTTCTTTAACTGGTATTGTCGTGAACCGGATATCGCCAAAAAATTTCAAGATCCAACAACAAAACTTGATTCAGTTTTTATCTCTGTAATTACACTCGTATCTGATGACGTGTTGTTCTTTGGCAGGTTTCATTGCTAGAATATCGCAATCGATCTCGGAACAGACTCTCGGTGGACACGCCGAGGACATTACCACAGCAGTCTGCTGGAGTGACAAGTATAACTAACGGTCCCTCTTCGTCAGGCTTATCGCATCTCGTCATGAAATCGCCTTCCCTTCCGAATCTCACCTCGCCATCAACGGCACCGTCCCTTGTCCATCGACCGATTCCTAGTAGTAGTGAAATTAACGGGCCTCATGTGGAGCCTGTTAGCCCAGAAATGGAAGAAAAGTCTACAGGTAGGGATGATCGCACTGAGGAGAAAGCTGATAGTTTTATTTTTTTTTCCTTTCCTCCTTTTTCCATCGCTGTAAGGGAGGGACGAAAGGAAGAGCGGTAAATATTTATTGTGTCTGTAAAGTCAGATGAATAAGACTTAAAAGGATCTGTGCGTAAACCTGTTATTATTTCCCACCTCTGACCAGACAGAGGGGTTTTTCAATCTGAGTAGCAATGCACATGGGTGTCATCCTCGGTTTTGAGTGAAAACCTCAAGACATCCACGGTAAAACTAACTCAAGGGACTGCTCGATACCCTTTCAATAAACGGCCATTCACGTCACCCAAGTCAATTGTTGCAAGAGCTGTATCACTACTCTGCTAGATGTTCGTTGTTATTGCAAGAGCTGTATCAGTTCCATCTACTAGGAAAGGTTTTTTTTAATGAACTGATCTTTCGTAGGCTCGCTGCATCGAGTGACGAAAATTTCCAACAGCGCTTATGGACGAGTGAGCACCACTTCTTCAAGAAGTTCGATGTTCGGTGATGGAGATTCGCGCCTCAAGAGAGGTCAGTAACCTTTGATTGCTTTTGGGCAACACAACCATCGATATTTCAGATGCAGTATGGTTCTATTTTATTGTTTTACAAAGAGAAGGAAGAAACATCTGATTATCTGTTTATAGAAATTCAAACGAAACACGCACAAGAGCAGCTGACAAGAAAGGAGGAAGTAAGGGCTAAGGCACAAGAAAAGCTGAGTTCTTTCATCGCGGAGCAACTGCTAAAAGGTAATTCGTTCAGGTTTTAAATTGTGCAAACGTTTCGAGTGTGAAGGTGCAGTGCAACTCGAAAAAATATTTCTAACCTGTCGTCCTTTGCTCTTGGTCACTTCGCGTGGTAAAGCTTGATGTCCTTACTTTGATTTACCCACAGATTCGACTCCAAAACTATCTAAAGCGCCCTCAGTAATTGGAAGATCGCCTTGTACCAGCACCAGCAGTGAGTCTTCGAATCCACCAACGGAACTAACGGGTACGATGCCGCGCAAGTAAATATATCTTATTAGACGTTGTGTGGTGTAGTATCGCCGAGTATTTTTACGAGTTGTGCCGTATTTTAACGAGCCCGTAGGGCGAGTAAAAATACTCAGCGATACTACACAATAAAACGTCTAATAAGTTATTTATTATCGAACACGCCAAATTGTTATTTTAGAGCGAATTTCGCAAGTATTTATTTAAGGGGGAGTGCGTGACAGAAGAAAGCGAAGCAGAACTGAATTGGCGCGTTGTCGTATTGCTGTTTCTATTTTCTTCAGTAAATGAAGACATTTCCTGGTCATCTAGCTGTTTTTCTTCGTTTGATTCATGTAATAAACTTGGATCTATATTTGCCAGCCCTTCCACCTCTTCGTCGTCAGAAATATGATTTCAATTGTCCGCCATTTTTTTTTTCGTAGCTTCAATTCCATTCTTCGCTTGCGCGATGCGAGAAAACCTCTCTAACCGGTTCTCTGGAGTACAAATACCGCATGATATTTGTACACGTCTATGGCGTTATTTGTACTCTACGGAGTTAAGTTGGATAATAATAGTTGTTATCATCCAATTGCACTTGGGTAGAGTACAAATAACGCGCAAATTGAGGCGAAATATCCCGCGATATTGATCAGTTATTTGAACATATGGCTTTTTTTTTTGTCCTGTAAAAGACTCCTTTGACAGGTTGACGATGCTAGCGTGAGTTGTTTCAAAAGAAAAGCAAGTGGACTACATTTTTGTATAAATACAGGAGTTGGATTATAAATAACTTGTATATTTTCACGTAGGTGACGCCATGGAAATCGAGGATGAGGACAGCAATTCAAACTCCGATATTTACGTCAATACTCTGATGGCCGCTCCTTCCGCTCACTCACACTCCCAGCATATATCCCATCGTCCTTCGCTCCTTGCACAATTTACTCAACCGGTAAGTTGCTGCAGCTTTTCTGTTCACCTTTTCCACCCTTCAACAACCGGACACTGGCTCATAAGTTTTTTGTTGTTGTTGTTTTTTTTTTTGTTTTTTTGTTTTTTTTTCCCGCGCTTTACCTTATCTATTACATTTGGTGGTCAAACGGAGATTTCTTACTTGTGTGAACACTGAGTGTATGCTTGGACACTGAATACTTCAAGTGATTAACACGCATTTGTTTGTTTGTTTGTTCTGGTTTTTTTTTTTTTTTTGGTTTTTTTTTTTTTTAGAATTACAGAATAAGTCACTCGCAGCAACCTCTGTATTTGACAACAGCCGCGCCCCAGCTTACCTCTCCGTCGCAGCCACCGACGCGGCTACCAAGCAATTCGCCTCAGTATCTTGTGACCAGCCCTTCAGCTCCAGCACACGTCCGTTTTCAACCTCCGTACCAAGCCGCGCCATCACAGACGGCTGGTTTCTACCACCACTGAATTTTGACTGGCTGACGAGAACTCGGTTAAATGAAAGAAGCTCTAACTTGTGATGTATTTAGAGACTGGTTATTGTAAATTTCAAGTTTAGTTTTATCTAGAGCCAAGCTCTTTCTGATCAAGGCGAACGCTTTTGCGTTCGTTCACTGACAATTTATGTTGTTGGTCTTGGATTCATGTGAAGGATGATAAAAAGAAGAGATCTTGTTTCACAAATTGCATTTAAATTGGTGATTTTTCGGAAAGTTTAGCAGTGAGTTGTTAGGATTTGTTGTTCACGTAATTCTCGAATCAGCAATGTTAATGTTAGGTTTTACGAACCATCGCGACCATTCCATTGTGGTTTAAAGCCTACTAAAAGTTGTTTTACATTCTCACATACATCACTTTGTATCATAGCCCTCCCTGTATCTTAAAACTGTTATTTTAGATGGGAACCAAGAGTTAATAAAGATGTGTATGGCTAATGCCGTTTCGTAACATGGACTTCTCTTTGCTAAGGTCATATTTTAACATAACAATAACCAGAAAAGTAGATTTCATATTCTTGCGTATTCAGGTGAAATCGTAACTGTTGGAGCGAGAAATGAATAACTTAAATTTTTGTCTCGCTCTTTACTCGCCTATCCTTGCCCTCTCTGTCTCCCTCTTGCCCCGAGCTCTCCATCGCTCGATGAAATGCGCAAATAGGGACGCTTGGTTTGCAGGCTGACCTCACTGAAGCAGTACCCTCGTTCTGATTGGCTAGTTAGTCGTTACTGGGAATGACAAGCGTAGAGACATATATGTTTGATCTACACAAGCTCAACCAATAGGTTTGTGGCGGAAAACTATTTTTGCTGTAGTAATGATATACATGAAAAAATTTCGCGTCTGATTGGCTGAAAACGAGTGCATTTTTGGTGTAACGGGAGTGCAAAGTTGTAAGACAAGTGCAATTTCTAATAGGGCGCACGCTTTCAAATTTTTGTCTGTCTTGACTTCGTGTGATGCCTTTTTCGTGTGAATTATGAGAATTAACAATATGATTTCTCGTGCAATTTGTTATAATAAGCACTCGTAAAGACTACAAATTGCATTCTGAAACATTTACTCGCACGTATTGATACCCTTACCTCTACATATCAATGAAGAGATAGAATCCCCTGCATGTGTATTATCTTCTTAAATGAAATTACCTTGTCAAAAACTGGTCAACAGTGTAAGGTGCACTATTACATTCTCAACGAAGTACGCGGTACATGCAGCGTAACTCCTGAGTGAGAGTAAACGGAAATCTTAAGACGTGACAATTTTGTCTTATCTTTATAGCGTATCGTTGTGATCGTCATTTCCTTACGCTTTCATAATTGTTTAACGCCACCTATCTACATACGTGAACAGATAAGAGACAATTTTTTGATGCCCCTCCTGGATGGAGATGGTTTTGAGAGTTTCAGATAAAAATGCAGATGTCAATGAAGTTCGCAGCGGGGAGGCTCGTAAGGGTTCTTGCATCCAGGGGAGCTTAAATCTTAATGAACTAATTCCACGCAAGATCCTCCCCCGTAAATGAGCTTTGAATATTTGAAATAACGTTTGTAGGTATATTGATATGTCTGATCAAAGCGTGGGGAAAAAAAAATTAAGGAAAAAATTGCAACACGCTACTTATAACTTTTACGACTGGACCAGCCACGTAGGCTAACGCTCTAAAAACTGACCAACTTAGAAAAACAAGAGTTTCGTTTTAATTCCTACCCTAAACCCCCATAACAACTATTTCTTTATCTCTGCAAGCTCACCCTCGTCTGTCCCAAGATAGCCGTTGTGGTTTAATTCGATTCTCTTGGTATAACGAAAGAAAAAAACCTGCCCAGCTTGCAGGACAGAAATGATTCCTTTACGTGTTTTAGTGCTTGTCCCCCGCCCTTTTACGTGGTGATCCATTCGAATCGAGGAAAACCATCGAGAATTCATGAAATTATGTCTCGCTGACCATGAATTAACGTTTGATTTAAATGGCTGGTGTGGGTATGCATGCTCAGCAATGATGATAAAATAGTTATGTAATGTTATGTAACTTGCCGAGATAGCTCAGTTGGGAGAGCGTCAGACTGAAGATCTGAAGGTCCCTGGTTCAATTCTGTCAGATATGAACAATCCCGGGTCTCGGCAGCTACTTTTATTTTATTTGCTCGTCTTTTTGTTTCGTGCTATTTACCTTTCCCAATCAAATTTCTCTTTTTACAATCCAAAACCAAAGAAGAACCCTTCTCCAAAGTTTAACAGAGGTTCTCAACTGTCACAAAGATTAATCACTTAAAGTGTATTCTTTTCGCAAAAGCAAGGAAAAATCTTGCAAAATAACATCTAAAACGATAGTTCTATTTAGAGGGTCTCCGTTAGACGTAAAAGTTGACAAATTTTAATCATTAGTCATAAAAAAAGGTTAACCTTAAAAATGAATTTGTGTTGACAACAATAGAAAGATAGTAACCGTTAGCCATAAATTGGCCAAAGTTTTAACCGTTAGCCGTAAAAGCTGTCTTCCCATTGAGACTCTCTATTTAAGATCCAGTGTTCATCCGTTTTTCTTAGACTTACTGGACCCTCGGTTGAATTTGAAATTATAGTAAAAAAAAATACCTTCTTAATCATCTATTCATTCAAATTTTTCATGCGAAAACGATGTTAAATGTCCAAAGCTTATTTTATGGTGTCTTTTTCTTTTGTCTCTTCAAAATAACAAATCGTTTAATTTGTATCTATTATTACTTGAATTATTTTTTAACTAACACACCTTTTTACACATGTGTTCAGCTTTTCCCAAGATCAATGGTAATGACAATGGTAACAATAATTAATAACAATAATAAAGGTAATAATAATAATTCGGCCTGGATGACAAAGTCGACGATGATAAAATGATATACATGATCACTACACTCGTTATCAAAAATACACAAAATTTTACAAATCTGATTGAATTGAGGAAAAACAGTATCATGAGTTCATAAGATGTCGAGTAGTCACGAATTTACTTTGCACGTTTGGTGTGAGTTACTCAGAATTGATGGTAAATAGTTATCCTTTTTTGTTGTTGCTCGAAGCATTATCACGTGCTGAGATAGCTCAATTGGGAAAGCGTCAGACTGAAGATCTGAAGGTCCCTGGTTCAATTCTGTTAAGGTACGAACAATCCGGGGTATCGGCATAGTTTTTGTTTCTTACCGTTTTGTGCTATTTACCTTTCTCATTCACACTTTTTTGTTTCGTATCGTCTGGGATTTCTTTCAGTTTCCTTGATGATTTCGAAATTAATTACTAACTGAGAAGGACTGTTCTCTAAAGTTGCACAGATGTTCTCAATTGCCGTACATATTCATCACTGCGAATTTTTAAGATAACGTACTAAAGGATCCTGTACTCATACAATTCTTTTGGCCCAACTAAATCTCCTAATTGTATTTGTGGAATTCCAAATATTCTTTCATCATCATCCCCTCATGCATTGACGCAAATTTACCTTGTGCATTAAACGTATGGGCTGAACATACTCAAAAGAGATGGGGCTGACATTAAGGTGATTCCTCAGAAAAAAAAAAAGTTATCCAGTTCTTTTCTTTTTTTTCTTTTTTATTATTGCATTTATTTTTTCACTTTTCCTTAGGTGTTCATTACCAATGTTTATTTCCATAAATACAACTGAAAAAAGGTAGGTTACCATGCTTGTTTACCCCATTAATGCCTGTAATAGCACTTATCACGCGCGTCATTTTATCAGTTGACGATGCGTTTTCCGGTGGCTGGGAACGAGTGTTTTTTAGCGCAACACTTGAAAAAACCTGATAGGTAGAAAGTCTCGAGTGCATGGAAGAATTTTTATATATAATTTGTGGAAAAATAACGCAATTTTGTATGACATCGACTCAAAACGTTACTTGAGTCGTTGCTTTCAAAGTAATGATTTGCATCCTCGAGTAACGGACTTTGTGCACGCTTTCAGCCATATCTTTTTTCCCATCGATGAACGTTTCTTTATTTCTCCAATTTGAAGGGGACAATTTGTGCGCCAAAGTTATACAATAAAAAGCATAGGTCACCGTGCTCATTGAAGAGCTAAAGACCATCGTACCTCTCTGCCTGGTCAATTGATTGAAAACCAATACCGTGTTCTCGGAATGTGCGCGCTTGTTCTCCTGATTACGTGATTTTTATGCGCAGTGGAGGACGCGCAATATAATACTGAAAACATATTTTTAATTGTTATCGTTTATTTCTGAAGATCTGAAGGTCCCTGGTTGAATGTCGCTCTGCTCTGAACAGTCCCGGGTCTCTGCATAATTTTTTTATTTTCTGTTTTGTGCTATTTGCCTTTTTCATTCAAATTTTCTTGTTTCATATCGTCTGGGATTTCTTGCAGTTTCCTTAATGATTTCGCTATTAATTACTAAAGAAGGACTGTTCTTTAAAGCTGCGCAGATGTTCTCAATTGGCCTACACATTCATCACTACCAATTCTTTTAAAGTAATACATGTAGTTCTAAAGATCCTGTGCTCAAACAATTTGTTTGGCATTACTAAACCTCGTAATTATATGTTTAATTGTATTTCAAATATTCTTTCATTATCCTTCCCTCATGCGTAGTCACAAATTTACCTTGTGCATTAAATTTTTGGGCTGAGTAGCCTCAGAAGATATGAAATTGATGGTAAAATCATTTTTTATCTGATTTTATTTCACTGTTTGCCGAGATAGCTCAGTTGGGAGAGCGTCAGACTGAAGATCTGAAGGTCCCTGGTTCAATNCATTCACACTTTTTTGTTTCGTATCGTCTGGGATTTCTTTCAGTTTCCTTGATGATTTCGAAATTAATTACCATAAACTGAGACAGACTGTTCTCTAAAGTTGTGCAGATGTTCTCAATTGCCGCACATATTCATCACTGCGAATTTTTAAAATAACGTACTAAAGGATTCTGTGCTCATACAATTCTTTTGGCCCAACTGAACCTCCCAATTGTATTTGTGGTATTCCAAATATTCTTTCATCATCATCCCCTCTTGCATTGACGCAAATTTACCTTGTGCATTAAACGTATGGACTGAGCATACTCAAAAGAGATGGGCTGACGTTAAGGTGATTCCTCAGGAAAAAAAAAGTTATCCAGTTCTTTTTTTTTTACATTTTATTACAATTTATTTTTTCATCTTTCCTTAGGTGTTCATTACCAATGTTTGTTTCAATAAATAGAACTGAAAAAAGGTAGGTCACCATGCTTGTTTACCCCATTTATGCCTGTACTAGCACTTATCACGCGCGACATTTCATCAGTTGACGATGCGTTTTCCGGTGTTTTTTAACGTAACACTTGAAAAAACCTGATAGGTGGAAAGTCTCGAGTGCATGGAAGAATTTTTATATATAATTTGTGGAAAAATAACGCAATTTTGTATGACATCGACTCAAAACGTTACTTGAGTCGTTGCTTTCAAAGTA